TAATAAATTCGATAAATTCCTCAACTTCTAAGTCTGACATTCCTTACTTTTTGAAGAGAAAGAGACCTATATTACAAAATATTATCTCGTTATAACAATAAAATAAACTCGTTTATAAGGAGAAAAATATCGTTATAACGAGATAATTAATTCGTTATAACGAGAAAAATAACTCGTTATAACGAGATATTAACTCGTTATAACGAGATAACTAACTCGTTATAACGACTTAATTATCTCGTTATAACGAGATACTAACTCGTTATAACGAGATAACTAACTCGTTATAACGAGATAACTAACTCGTTATAACGAGATAACTATCTCGTTATAACGAGATAACTAACTCGTTATGACGAGATACTAATTCGTTATAACGAGATACTAACTCGTTATAACGAGATAACTAACTCGTTATAACGAGATACTAACTCGTTATAACGAGATAACTAACTCGTTATAACGAGATAACTATCTCGTTATAACGAGATAACTAACTCGTTATAACGAGATACTAACTCGTTATAACGAGATAACTAACTCGTTATAACGACTTAATTATCTCGTTATAACGAGATAGTTATCTCGTTATAACGAGTTAAATATTTTTTTATCTTGTCAAAAATGAGCCTATCCGGCTTTCGTAGTTAGGGACAAACTATTTTTTGTAAAAAAAAAAAAAAAAAAAAAAAAAAAAGAGCATATACATGTACATGTATGTATACCATTATCCTTTGTAATAAGTCAGTTCTAGCATCATCGGATCTTGGACTCTCTTGTTAAACTTTTCGTTATTCTGACTTTTTACATGATACATCATAAGTTGTTAAAAAAAATCTCACCTCTTGTTTTAAATCAAATTTTCGCTCCGAAGATCTAAGATTTCACAGAAGAGTTCAATTTGTTGAGAATTTCATTCATACAAAGAATTTGTTCGGCATCTTTGATATTTGATAGTTAAATTAAAAAGTGCTTTAAAAGAAAAGAAGGAATTTTGACAAGAATAATATTTTTGCAACTTTTTTTTTAATTTAAGTACACTACCATTCTAAAGACAATAATGTAGGAAATAAAACATGCTAAAAACTGAGGAATTCATTTGAGGTGGAAAGCTATCAGTTGCTGTCCATTCTCTAAAAAATCACCTTAGGGCAAAGGAAGCAGAAAAGGCAGAAAATGCATGATTTCTCAATGTATTAACATGTACTGATTATTTTTTTAATCTATAGAAAGTTCCATTTTTACATACATTTATAAGATTTTTTTGAATTCGTCCAATAGAGATCTGATACAAATCATACTAATAGAGTATCATTGTGTTAAAAAATACAGGGGTAATTAAATCTGCAAAATAAAGGAAAAGTTGCCATTAAAATGAATTCTAATTGAAAATAAAACATATTCAAATGCAACTTAGGAAAAAGTCTAAGCAAAAATTTTAGATATTTACTTTGTTAAATTGAAGTACATGTAATTTTATTATTACTTTGAATACAGAGCATTGAGTTGAAAATTTTACCTAAGATTTTGAGAGTAAATTTACCCCGTAAATTCGTAGGTTTGAAAATATAGCACCTAGATAAAATGTTAACAAGTATTTTGATAAAAAAAAAAATCCTTGTAATTTTAACTTTAGAATTTAAATCATAACTACTTTTTCGCAATATTATTGACTAGATTGTCAGATACTTTCTTCTCGGAGGAAATTTACTCTGTAAATACTTAGGTTAGCTGATCTAAGTTTGTAGAAAGTGAACTAGTATCGAATCATTTTCAGAAGAAATTTACTCGGTAGAGTCTTGTCTTGGTATCATTATAATATTCAGTTTGTTATTTCTTTGAATAATGTTGTATTAGTGATATTCTCTCTGGGGAGAAATTTACCCTAAAGTCTTGTTATCATCACAATTTAATGTTTGCTTTTGTTGTGAATAAGATTTACGATACCGGTAATGTTTTTTCAGAGGAAATATACCCCGTAAAGACTTGCTAACATCAAGATGAATATTCAGCTTTTCGGTGACTTTCAGGAGAAATTTACCTTGCAGAGTCTTGCTATCGCCACAATGTACATTTTTAGCTTTTCTGAGCCAAAGGCTCAAAGAGCTAATGCTATGACCATTTGTGCGGTGTGCGGAGTGCGTAAACTTTTTAGAATATGGGCCATAACTCAAGAAACCCTTGGCCGATTATTGTCAAATTTGTCACAGGGTATCCTTGGCCCAAAGGCTCCCATTTACAGTAAAACTAGGCTTGTGACCCTTAAACAACGGGAGATAATTATCACCGAGCAAAATTAACATTTTTGAAATAAATAACTTTTTAATATGTTATACTAAATTTGAACATTTATCTGTGAAATACTTTATCTGTTTTTACTATGTGCTTATTTCTAATTAATTGTGTCTTATTTATCTCATTTCCTTTGAAGCAGGATTAAGACATTCCAATTGACACTCAGTGACTCTGTCAAAAGAATTGATACCCATTAGGTGTAAATGCCTTTAGGACCTGTTAATCCCGTAACAATGATTTTGTTTATATAATTATTTTGTAAATTCTTTCATGTCCATTCCAACAAAGATGTACATCTGTTTATCAATTAACTCAGTTAGTGTCAGACTTGAATTATTGTTTACTCTCAATATTACAAAAAGCGATGTTCATTATACTTTCTTCAGTTTGGAGGCCCGATGCTCTACCGGCCACATCCAACTCGGTTATGACCTAGTTTTGACTCGTTAAACTATTGTTGAAATTCATGTTGATTGTTATTCACCATCGTCTATAATAAATTCGGAAACCTGATTTACCATTTCTTGGACTTTATATTGGAAGACCATAAGGAATACGGCACCTTTCTCGTTTACATTGTATTACGGCCCCATGCACAGCGCCACTACTTTATTACCCGCCAACATTCCTTCTTCCCCGTTTACGCTAGAACAACGGATATAGTCCAGGAATTACTTTTATAACTTATAACCAAAATTTAACTGGTTATATAATTAGGAAAATATAATCAAAAGTACTGGTTGCTTAAAAATCTTCTTCTCAAGAACCACAGGGCAGATTATCACCAAACTTAAACAAAAGGATGAGGATATGTTGTAGATTAAAATTTTCACGGGGAATCACCCTGGAGCAAAGGGTGTGGTCTCAAGGTCACTTCAAAGTTGACCAAAAATTACATTTTATTAAAATGTTGATATTTTGCTTACTTTAAGGACTAGGATCATCAAATCTTGTCAGTTGACGCATCTAAGGACCTCATATCATGTTGACTCAAAAGTAGGTCATGGTGACCTACTTTTTAAATTTTACGACCATTCTTTTTCAAAATGATTTAGAGGCATATTTTGAACAATTTAAGGCCCATAATCATCAAACTTTGTCAGTTGATGCATCTTGGGTCCTTGGAGTACGACAACTGAAAAGTAGGTCACCCTGACCTACTTTTGAAATTTTATGGCTGTATTTAATATTTTTTGGGTACTATTTGGATTAGAATCATCAAATAGAAGTGAAAGGTTGTACAGTTTATCAGAAGAGCGATTCAAGGCCCTTGGGCCTCTTGTTTGTTTTTTGCAATGATAATATTGATATCACTTAAACTATAAAAGACACAAGTTGTACATGATTTTCCCACAAGGTACATGTAACTCGATCAACAGATCTTTTGCATTTTTATATTTTTTGTTTTGTGCACTACCTGGGAGGTATTACGAAGATAAGGAGCTAACAGTTAATCAGTGCTAACATCAAATTTTGAATAATTTTTTGATAGATAATTTGAGGTTTTTATACTGAAATGTTTGAAAACATTAGAAATATAATTAATTAAAATTGACTAACAAAATCCAGCAACTAGCGAGATATCGCAAGACTTGATCCTGTAAGTATATATACAATGTACCTGTACGTCCCTGGAACTCCATTTTTGCTGGGAGGGACACTATTATAACAACTATACCTTAAATAATTTAAAAAGATTAATTAAGCAAATTAATTTCGAATCAATAAAGGAGAAAAATCTGCATATTAAACCGAAGGCGGACCTTTTATTATAGAGGCAGGCGGACCTTATATGTTATCTTTAAACGAGGCGGACCAAATATTATACGACACCGGTCGATAGGGGAAGCTTACTCTTCCTGGGCACCTGATCCCACCTCTGGAATTTCCAGGAGTCCGTGTTTTAGCTCTGTTTACAGATTTGTATTGTTTGTAGCGCTCTTTGAGATCGATCACTGTTTTTTATCTTCACCTCTTTCTCATTTTTCATACCTCATGTAAAATTACAAGTAGCACATTGGTATATACTTCAGTGGGAAATCTGTACAATGTACAAGTAAGATAATGAGTGGTCATAAAGTTTATAGTAAATTCTGTTTACAGTTATGCAGTAATGACAAAATGTACATACTTGAACGTGTATACAATAGTATTTGAAAAGATTGGATGTAACAACTTACTAAAACTTAATAATAATTAAAACTTACTTAGTCTTGTAAAACTTACTTAGTCTTGTATTTGTATCATTAGTGCCCTTGGTTTTAATGTTCTGCACTTACTTTTTGAATTATTTGATATTCTTATTGTTTCTAATATAAAGATGCGTAATCTGATTATGTATAAAATATATTAAACCTCACATTAGACGAAAAGACAAAATAATGCTCTTTTTTTTCATTTTACCGAATATTTACATCTCTGAAAGAATTATTCTTGAAAGACTTGTACAGATCTAGCTTGTATACAGAGGGGGTTGATATGCTTTGATAGGCGGAAAAAGGGGTTTTATCTCTCAATGGACCAGACTGTGCTTACACTTAAAACTATAAGAAGTATAGAAAGTCAAATTTCAAAATCAAATGTTCGATTAGCATTATACCTTGAAATCCTTATACCAGGTATATTTGAGACTTTCCCTCAAAGAATTTCCACTTGTACGCTTGCAATGGCATGTTACGATGTTTTTATTCACATTTCGTTTACAGGAAGTCCTCTACTATCCTTTGTATAGGGCTTAGTCTTCTCATCATTTTCCCAGTCCTCCTTCCTATGCGGTTCGTGAATCTCCTCTACCACAGAAGTGTTCCGAATTATCAGTGTGGAGTACACAGGAATCCCTATTTAGCAGAGGATATACTCTGTCAAGTTTGTATTTATTTTATTTACCAAGATCTAAATCATTACAATTCCAGTACATTAAGATCTGTTTCATAGAAAGTTGTTAAAGTTTGGTATCTGTTGCTCTCTGGTTTCAGGAAAGGAAGAAGTTTCTGCCAAATTTCAAAAATCCATGTTGGTATGAATTTGACGGAAACGTGACGTATAATAAACTCCGATGTCTGCCCTACTTTCATATTTTTGGTGTATGCAAGTCCGGCACTACTGACCTCTTTTTTCGGTTAATACAACATCCTCAAATAGTTCCAAATAGAGGTCAGCTCTCCAAAGAAACCTGGTTCTGGTCTTGGCATCGATACGGCACAGGTACGCACGTCTGAATACCGAGATCTTCCGAATGTGTGCCTTTTACATGTACATAAAACTTAGGTTACAGAGAAGTGATTGGGACTTCTTATAAACGAGCTCCTTTTTATTCGTAAGAGGAACATGTATAGTGAAAATCTCTTAAGGGATTTATAAAAGTTTCCTTTTAACCGACATTTCCATATAAGGAAGTTCTTTATGACTAAGTTTACATTCGAAAGGGTTTCGTGTTTTTTGTGCTTATATATGTATTTTGACATTTAATATTATATATTCATAATTTATCTTTGCTTAATTAAGTAACTTGTACAAAACTACAAAACTTTTAGACCCTACCTTTCATGATTTATCTATGCTTAATTAAGTAACTTTTTGTACAAAACTTTTAAACCCTACCTTTATCGTTGATACTGTACTTTACACACATTTTAAAGGATTAAGGGGGATCGACCCTCTGATAAGAGAGATAACTTTCCTAATCCTAAAAAATCCTAATATTACTCATAGTTTACTTTACCGGAGTTTAAACCTTTTAGTATTTTCATTCTATCAAACCCGACATATGAGGGAAACATTGACTTCCATTTCCTTTTGCCTATACATTTAAACCCAGTTTTCAAACCTTTACAAATTAAATAAGTTTTTTTCTTTTAATGGATCATTTTAAGAATGCTTTAATGTATCAAGTATCATATGTAGAATTTTATTAGTATTAATTTTTTTTTTATTGAAAAAAATATTTATATAAGAAAGATGATTGCTAATGGACGTTTTCTTTTCTTACAAGCACATAATAGCATTGTGATATTCTAACTTCTGTTTTTTAATATGAATTTAATAGGTAGGACACTAATATTATTTTTATATACACCTCACATTTTCAATTTTATGTTGATAATGAATTATTATTCTCCCTATTCTCTATGTTAAAATTTATTCATATCATGATCTGACATAAAAATCATTTCTGAAAATTAAGCAGCGCTTCATACCTCATACTATTTTTTTTAGAATCCAATGCTAAAGCTCTTGATGAAAATCAATGTTGGGAAGTTTAAAAAAAATTATGAAATTTAGAGCAGAGGTTCATTAGTCCTTAACATCCAACAAGATACCGTAAAACGCGAATTTTTTAGCGACCATCTAATTTTGGCCTTTTTAGCGATGACCTTGGCTACTTTATAATTATAAATATTGCTAATAATATAGAAATATATTCATAGAATATTAATGAAATTATTCTCAAAATTGTGAAAAATTAATTACGCTGATAATAAAAGCCCGCTAAATTTGCCAGTTGTTAAAGTATTCCGTTATACGGTACGGCTTCAAGCTCTAGCCTTTCCGCCAATTTAAGTGGAGGGAAAATTGCCAGACTTTTCTCTTTATAAAAATCGTGAAGAATGTGCTTCAAGCTGTTTTTTTTTTTGTTTTTTTTTTTTTTTGATTTTTTTTTTTGTTTAAAACCTTTAAATTGTACTTTGTGTATTTTTTTCAATGTAGATCTCATGAAAAGAAATGTTTCAGGTAAGGGACTTCAATGTATGGGTTTTTAAAGTGAAATCGTTTTCTTCTGAAGTTCTTGTATATTTTTGCTTACATGTACTTGCATCTCTGAAGAATTTCTTATTATAACAATCTGATGCTTATTGCATAAGGGGTAGACTGCTATAGGCTTCATTCGCCATTTTCTAAATTAGATGGGGAGCGCGGCCCATGGGCGCTTCAGCTGTTACCGAATATAACACAGTAAATATGATGTAGTAATTTAATACAATGAATCATGATCGGACCAGAGATTATAGGAACTTGATAAAAGTCATCAGACTAAAGACAACAAATATTTGCAAACTTTTACCCTTCAAAACATTTCTACATTTAAAACATTTAAAAAGTTTACTATAACACAGTATTGATAGATGACCACGACATTGACAGTTTTTTTTTCTTCTAAAATCTTTGCCAAGTGTCAGAAGACAAGAGCAAAACACTACAATTCAATTTGTCATGACGATGGGCAAAAGAAGTTTTCTTAGCCCAATGTACTTTTACATAATCAACTTCGATATACTAGTAATTAATGTTTCATCGTAGTTCGAAATAATGTATGCATGTAATGGGATGCATAAAAAAAAACACCAAGAATTTTTTTTAATTTAGTCGATCCGAAGCAGTTTCAACCTTTGGACCACTTCATAGATTTCTTCCAAGTTCCACAGATATCGCAGATGAAGGTATCACCAAATGGCTCAAAATATTCAGACATCGTTACAGGTAAGCGCAATAAAATTGACTTTCTCTTTAATTAGACAGTTCGGATGAAATAACACAGGGATGAAACCAGGGAAAAACAACCCAAAAATTTATGTGAATATAAAAAAAAAAGCCAGGAAAAAAGTCTACTAGTTTTAATTTGGCTATCATGTTTGTGCATTTAGGACATGCTGACCCCATGGATTTTTGGGACAACACGTTATGGCGATTTATTCCCCAGAACGACGAGAATGATCTAGAGCCGACCTTCACCACGCCATATCTTATCCGTCATGTACAGCCCAATATCAGACTCATCCTACTGCTCAGGGAGCCAGTGGAAAGGTTTTTATTCTTGTTTTATTCATCATAAGATTTTATATAATTTTTATTTTATTTTTTCAGAAAAAATCTTATTCATTATATAATTGCACAGAATTTCGGTATATCTTCAGACTTGCGGGGGGAAATTTGACGGAAATGACCTTTTTAGTTGACAATTTTAGAAAGCAATAATACATGTACATGTAGTCATTTATTCCAGTTAGAGTTATCTCTCTTATCACGCAGATGGTTTATGAACCTTAAATTGTTATCAACTTGGAAGTGAGACTCGAAAACTCAGGTTAATTTCTCTGGGTTTTTATCAAAGGTAGATGTTCAAACACCAGACTGATCCCCCTAGTCAAAACGACCACACCTACCATATGCAGGCTCTTTCTGTAAATTACTTTAACAAGTATTTATATAAAAATATATATAATTTAACGGACTAGGACTTTCTGTTTGAAAATCTTGGCTATTACAGCTAGTATTCCTTCCCTTTTTTTGTACAACAATCAAGACTACTAAGTTTTCCCCCTATAAATCATACAGCTTCTACTAACCATGTTTCTTCGTTTCCAAGATTATAAGCCAATGCTTCCATCTGAGTTTTTTTTTTATTAACAGATTATAAGCCAATGCTTCCATCTGAGTTTTTTCTATTAACAGATTATGAGCCAATGCTTCCATCTGATTTTTTTTCTATTAACAGATTGTGAGCCAATGCTTCCATCTGAGTTTTTTTTCTATTAACAGATTATGAGCCAGTGCTTCCATCTGAGTTTTTTTTCTATGAACAGATTATGAGCCAATGCTTCCATCGGAGTTTTTTTTTCTATTAACAGATTATAAGCTAATGCTTCCATCGGAGTTTTTTTCTATTAACAGATTATGAGCCAATACTTCCATCGGAGTTTTTTTTGTCTATTAACAGATTATAAGCCAATGCTTCCATCGGAGTTTTTTTTTCTATTAACAGATACTGAGCCAATGCTTCCATCGGAGTTTTTTTTCTATTAACAGATTATGAGCCAATGCTTCCATCTCAGTTTTTTTTTCTATTGACAGATTATAAGCCAATGTTTCCATCTGAGAGTGTTTTTTTCTATGAACAGATTATGAGCCAATGCTTCCATCTGAGTTTTTTTTTTCTATTAACAGATTATAAGCAAATGCTCCCATCTGAATTTTTTTCTTATAACTATTATAAGTCAATGCTTCTATTTGAGTCTTCCCCCCCCCCCCCCCAAACAAAAAAGATTATACATAGTCAGCCAATAATATCATCTGAATTTCAACTTTTCCCAGAGTTTACAGCTAATGCTTCTATCTGGGAATCTTCTTTTCCCAAATAAAACAACCAATAATATCATCTGGGTTCCAGATTTTACAGCCAATGCTATCAACTTGAGTTCAACTTTTCCAAAATTTTACACCAAATGCAACCATCTGGGCTTCTGGTTTTCACAGTTTAAATGGCCAGTATTGCCACTTTATTTACTCCTTTTCCCGCCTTTTAATCTACTGAGTATATTTTCCCCCAGATTATGAACTGTTGCCTTCTTCTGGATTTGAATTTTTCCCAGATTATACAGCCTTATATATCACCTAGGTCTCTTCTTTTCCCAGATTATACAGCCTTATATATCACCTAGGTCTCTTCTTTTCCCAGATTATAAATTATTGTCATCATCTGGATTTCATGTTTTTCTCCAGATCCTACAGCTTTTTATATCATCATAATTTCTTCTTTTCCTAGATTATACAGCCTTTTATATCATCTTTTTTTTCTTTTCCCATATTACTACCCTCTGAGTTTCTTCTTTTCCCAGATTATACAGCCAGTACTACCATTTGGGTTTCGGGTCTTCCCCAGAAGATTTTCACGTGGATGTATCGGCCTCCATTAGATATATAGACAGGTGTCGTAGATTGGACGGCTTGCGGTCCTGTCTCTACAATAGGACTCTCATCAGGGATATGCCGGTAAAGTTATTGCTCTGTCAAACTTTTTAATATTTTATTTGGGAGGCCTAAGGCTATTGATAAGCGCTAAAAATTACTATTGTCCCAAAATTTCATATGTATACATGTATTTATTTGTCTGCTGAAAATTCCTCTTTTTCCGAGGTTTCTATCAAGTTCGTGTTTGCTTGGACAAGGTGTCCCTTAACAACGATTTTGGATGGGTTTTGTCTGAATCTTTCGATTTTCTAAATAGGATTTCTTAAATGTAAATGACATTATGTTTATTTAATCCATCGACATTTTGATTGAATCTGATCTGCAGTGATTGGTAGCTGCACAAGAAGATGACAATTATAGTACAGAAAATCCGAAATATCAGCTATAATAAGGCAAAATGAATGAATTTTAAGTTCAAATATTTTTCACTTGTGTATACATATAACAACAACTTCAATGTTTTTTTTAGAATGTAATGAATACCTAATGGGCTCCCTTTTCAGTTTACAAATTAATAGGAAAATCTATACACTGTTATAGACGTATTTTGTTGCATAATTCAAGTCCAATACAATTCTTAATAGATTAAATATTATTATACTGTATACACTGTACTACTTTAATGAATTAAATAGTCGGTTTCTTTCTAGACCCCCCTTTATGCCTCCTTTTACGATGTCCATATAGCAAACTGGTTAGACGCCTTCCCTAGAGAGCAGATATTCATCGTCCGAACAGAAGACTTCTCCAAAGACATTAGATTTCATCTTTTACATTTGTTCAAATTTCTCAAAGTTGGTAAGAAACGTATCCAAAAATCAAACCTATCGAATAAGAAATTGCTTATGACGATATACATGTAGCAGGAAGAAAGCCCCGACCTGCAAGTCATCGAGCAATCTATTTAATGCAAAGTGCAACCTGCAGGTATTTAAAATATTGTATCAATTCATTCAACAATTAATCTTAGTAAATGATTGTCTTCATAGGTTATCCAGACGAGAGATTTTTTTTCAACTTTCATGAAAAATGTGAATATCTAGGTCACTCCGATGGCACCCCATCCTTTCTTACTTTGGCTCAATTTGGAAGAGAGCAATCGCTGAACAGACGCACAAACGGAAAGATATCAGATATAGCGAAATGGCTCTCATATATATATGTCTAGATTTTAGATAACCAATTACACATCTTTCGAAATGCAACACAGTGACACTGCACTCTATTCATGAAAGAGTAGATATGAACATCTTTCATTTGTTTTTTTTGTTCTTTAGTGTAAAATAAGTACGATAAAAAGGTAGACTTTCTAAAATGACAATGTCATTAATTTTACATTTATATTTTCCCTTTTGTCTTCTTTTTTGATAGATGATGTGTCAGAAACAGTATTAAAGAAAATGTCACAGATGTCTCGTAGGTATAAGTCGGTCTTCAAGGACAAAGCAGGACCTATGCTAAACCGCACTAGGCGCATGCTTAGAGACTACTTCCGGGAGCCGATGAAAAAGCTATCATACCTTCTTAATGACCCAAAATATACCTGGGCGGATGTGTACGGATAGCTCTTCTCGGTGTGTTTTAAGATCGAGGGTAGCAACAAATTAAAGATAACTCTTTTTCTTGCCTCACAAAAAAGAAAATGATTTTTGATTCACACATTTCTTTAAAAGAAATGAATGTTTGATTTTTTTAAAATAACATATAGCCAGGAATCTGCCAAGTTTAATCAACTTTGTTAGAAATATGGTTTATAGCTAATCGTTATAGATTGGTATAATGTAAATGGCATTGTCTAAGCGTGGGTTCTCTTCCATTTATGCAAAGAAGAGAAAGTTTTCAACTGATGTTCTGTATGAATCTGTCACAAGGATATCAATTAAAATTGGATTCCTTGATTTGCTTATTAATCGCTACTTTATTCTAGAAATCCACATTAGTGGGTCAAATGATATATACATGTATGTATTGATTTAAAAAACTGATGGAATCTGTCTCAAAGTTCAGGAAAAATTGCATTGATCAATGCCTATTTTTTCATCAGAATTTAAGAATTTTATATTAATTGGGTTACTAATGATTTGCATAAAGTTGTTACGTGCATGAACAGGTTAATTCTTATTCTTAAAAGGTCAATACCGTCCTTGTGAAATTTTAGCAAACATTCAGATGTGAAATATAGAGCTTGTTATAACATTTTAACTAATGACACGTTAGAAGATTCCGCTCCGGAAAATGTGATGCTTTCTCAGTAAAATCAAACATCAATGAAACATTTTTTTTTGGTTGAATGCTTTAATGTTGTACAATAGATTTTTATATTTAGTTGTCTATACAACAATAATTTTGGATGAAAATTCAAATCATCTATCTTATCCAACACAGAGCCATAACTCCAGAAATATTTTTTATCCTATGAGATGTTTTTGTTAAGAATCATCATTAACCTGGGGTATACATTTTACATTAAATTAATCCTTTTATCCACTGGCGGATTTAGAGCCCCCCCCCCCTTTTGTGACCAAAAATATATACAAGATTTATAGAGCAATTTTAGGTGTGGGACATTGCATCAATTGTACCTAAAATATAGCTAAAATAACTCAAAATGTTCAAAGAAAACCTCCTTAAACCTAAGAACTTTGGGGGACTTCGTCCCCTAGGCTCTCATCCCAATCCTTAACTGGTTAGGCCCCTCCTTTTCAAGAATATTGGATCCGCTACTGTTATCTACTGTACAACACAACAAACAAATATGAAATTAATATAAATTAGTGCGGAAAGGCATTTTGTGTACCTGTGGTCAAACGCAAATGGGAGCCAGACATGTGCAGATCAAGTCAACGAGAGCATTAATTTGTAAAACGAGATTGTTTTTTTCCTTTCCTTTTCTTTTTTTTTAATTTTTGGAAAACAGATTAATAATGTAGTAATATAGTCGCTTACTTTTTCTAAAGACGTAAAACTGAAAATCAAAACAATTACAAAATTCAAATCAAAATACACAGGGCAAGTGCAGAACTGAATATAGTAGAGTTATCTTTCTTTTTCCATATATTTTATTACTGTCATACCTCGTTATTAGGTCTGCTAGTGAAAGTTTACATTTAACCTTTCTGTAATTCTGCTAAGAAGTTGCACTGACTTTAAGACCAGTTGCCCTTGACGGAGGTAAGTCGGACAATACCATAATTTTCTAATGTTGAAAAGACGATCACTATATTCCATTATAAGATTACAATATTGATCCCAACGCTTTAATGTACAAAACTTGGATTTACTTACAAAATCTACATAAACATGCATATCATATATATTTCTTAAGATAAATCATGTCCACCGGAAATAATATGAAAGTGTACGCTTTGATTTGTACCATATTAAATTATCGATGAATATTTCATAATCCGGCGACTTTTTGAAGTCTGTGATTTCAATAGACAAATAACTACACCCCCTTATCAAAATGAGCTGTGATTAAGAATAATAAATGAATTGACACTCGCATTACAATTATTATTCAATTACTAATGAAGTCTTCTTTGCATTAAAGAAACTTTCATAGCAAATTTTCCAAACATATTGAATAACGTGCGTGTAAAATGTAGGCGGTAGTCTCGAGCTAGCGTTTGCATTTCTTTTCCTTATTGACGAAATGTTTTAAAAGGGTTACAGGATTTTTTTTTACCCATAATAAACACAGACACCACAAACCAGTGCAGGGAGCATTTTATTTGTAAACTAACTTTAATTGCATAAATTATAGATAACAAAATAACATTTGGTGGTGTAAAAAACAAATGGCAACAAACACACACATATCAATGTATAGAAATAATGATACATTTATGAAAATTGATCTAAATTCGTAGAACAGAGAAGAGCACCATGTTTTGTAGAGGTAGAAACAATGACGTATGAATGGTGAATGCAAGTTCCTATCACATACATGTACAAGCAGTTTGTGGCTCATCTTATCAATACAGTAAAAGCATAATAAATTATATCACAGATTCAGCTTGAACACAGTTTCTACAGATTTGGCAAATACTAAATTAGAAAGACAAATAGACGTGGAAGACGATTGGATCCCTGACGTGACCTTTGACCTTTAACATATTGACATCGGTACATGGATCCATGGCGTGACCTTTGACTTATGACATATTGACATTGGTGCCTGGTATGATGAGATCATGGTCACCTGACAAAATATCGTCATGTGTTTCCTTACCCTGTAGACCTTAAAATAGAAATATTAAGTTTTCAGAAAAATGCGAAAGAAAATACTTTTTTACTGAAAAACCACAAAAGACAATTCTTTTTTTAATTGATGCCCCCCCCCCCCCAAAAAAAAAACTCACCTAAGTGTTTGTGGAGGAAGCCTAGCGAGGCTTTGTTGGCTAGAGACATGGCAGTCTTTGGGGATAGAGTATACCGGACATCTAACACGCGCCCCACTGCTTTGTTGACCAGAAACTGGAAGTCTGTTACGCTTTGGTGACAAGTGCCCCTAAAATTACCAAGGAAGCGGTTAAGTACAGCATGTAACAATTAAAGCATATCTACAACATCTTTCACAAGCCCCATTGATTCTCTCTCTATATATGTCGAAGTTTTAATATCATCTCTATGTACATGTATATATATGCCTATGAATTAAACAGACTTTTCCGCAAACTAATTGAACTCCATCATACATGTACTTGTACATACAAGATTTGTCTTCTGAATATCTAAGAAGCTTGGGCAAACATTTAATATATATATATATATATATATATATATATATATATATATATATATATATATATATATATAAGGTGGACTTTGGCATAAAGTAGACCGCACTTATTTTGAGGCATTAAGTAGACATTTTTCATTTCTTTTATTTGAGACATTCTGATTCACACTTTCACCCAAATTTATTCTAATAGGCTTCAAAAATGAAAATTTTACCCCCTCAGCCCTAAATGTTGCTTCCTGAAAAATATACGACATTTCTGGTCTCCTTAATATTTTGTAAATACATTGGAGGTTTTAGGTAGACATGTATATATTTTATGAGGATCCCGAAGGGTTAAAGTAGACCAAGTATATATAATGCATAAAGGAGACCAGAATATATATATATACATGATTATGTAGACCATTTTCTTTTTTCTAATTATTTAAATAAAAAACTACACATGCATAAATGTATTTCTCATACCAGTATTTATTGGTCAATTTGCATTTATCTTCAGTAAAATATTAGGCACTTTAAAACCCAGTATGATGATTCCTTATTTTAACTAGAAGGAACTAATTGGGTGATGTCTATTCGTAGACAAATTTTCATGTCCTGAATCTTATGGAAATATAGTAAATGACCGATAGTAATTGTAACGTTAAGAAAATATTTCATCCACCACCAAAGAAACACATTGATTTAAAACTTCGTACTCACATGATGACTTATGGTATAGAATCATCATCTAAGCCACAATCACCTGTACATGCTAGATATGACCTCTTGAAACTATAACCTTGTACTTTTCAAAAAAAAAAATTGTATTTTAGAATTTTATATATCCACTTTATGTCATATACTCTGAGCATAATGAACCCTAAGATAATATAATCTTTGGAAGTTATTTTATAGTTGACAAAAATTGAACTTGATGCAGGGTTGTTATACATCCCCAAGTCACAATTATCCCTTGCCTTGATTTACATCTAGTATAACAACAATGCGATTGCCCGCTTGGCGCAGTGGTCAGAGCATTTGCTCTAGAGTAGTGGAGTACGGACTTGTTCCTTAAGTCATAGGTACAAATCCCACTGAAGGACGTGGAGACCGGTTCTTCCAATGAAATCAAATTCCCTTGTTGCAGTATATGCTGGGACAAGAAAAGACCTCTCACTGCTCAAAAGTACAGGTCTAAATTTGCAGCCCTCAACCAGCAAGTTGTGGTGTCTCAATACTAGTGAAAAATTCTTAAAGGATGTATAACAAACAAACAAACAGAATTATGTGTTTATCTGAATATTTATTACATTTCTAAACCCTATGGCCTTGACCTGTATTAACCTGTGTTAGGACCATACTCTGAGGTTACAAACAATTATTGGTAAGTATTTAATACTTTGATATACAGTGACTATGACCTTGTGCAAAAGACCGTTACTACTGGGTCTAGAATATTTCTGGCCACAAGCTACCTTTGTTTCAAAAGATGTCTCCTCACAGAAGACACGTAGACTTCACAATTCCAGTAACTTCATTTGTTGTTGTAAAAAAATGTCAATATTTCCCCATGCAAAAAAAAGTTTGTAAAACAACCCCTTTTCTTCTCATGTCTAAGATCTCTATCTTAAATACACATTTGTCACAGTCACTGTCTACTGAATTCATAAATCTAAAGGTAGTTCATACAGTCTTATTTTAATTCATATTCTTGTGTCTTTAACATCATTACACATATAATTTTTCCATGTTTGAATAGACAATAAAAATTGGAAACCATAAATACAATGAATTAGATTTGTTATAACTGTAACAAATAATGCAAATACATATGTGCAAGTCATGTAAAATTTAATTTTATTTGTAAATGTGTATTACATTGGTGACATTTGTATACTGTTCAATATATGCATAAGGACTTCTATTATTATCAATTTTCACAACATTAGTTTTGTATAAAGTAATAAATAACTAGTATTTTGTACACAAACATAACATCAATAAAAATAACAATCTTTTACATATCTATAAATATACATAAGAGGAATAAAACACTATTTTGAAATAATCATTACATTTTCATTTCTTGTCAATTAAAAAAAATGAATAGCATTATTAAACTATTACAACATGTTTTAAACCACAAATGTGTGTTCTAAAATGCATTATATACAAAGTGAGATGCATTGATTAACTGTTCATTGTAAGTTGAAATGAAGTTATTACTTATAAAAATACTTTGCATTAAAAAGCAAATCTTTACATAGTTTATTTGATGAGAATATTCCCTCGAACAATAAACTGGCAAGATGTAAAACAGACTCTGAAATACCTATACCACCTATTTCAAATAGTACAGTTTGCATTTCATCCATGAGATTATTGACCTTGAAAAATTATAAATGTTTTCTTCTCTTTGAAAGGAACATGTGTGCTATGAAAGGGATATATTAAATAATGTTATTACAAGACATACAAGTAATTTTTATCTTGATAAAAAATGGTGACCTTCTCATGTCAATTAAGAGAACCATTTCACACAATTTGTGCTAGAATCTCATCTACAAGGTATTGGCAGACAGGCTACCATACTAATACATCCCTATAAATGAGTTGCAAATATAAAAGAAGTACCTGAAAGTCATTCAGAAAAAATTTTAAAAAGCTGGCTTAAAGATGCTACATTTGTCAGCTGAAATGCATCTTTCACAATACATTCCTAGCATATAATTTTGTGCATATTATATGGTATAATGTTTTTGTTGTTGTTTACAGAGCAAAAATAAAAAGTATATCCATGTACAAATGTTCAAGAGGGCAAAACTAGAAATTTGTCTATAGGACATGAATGCCCCGCTGAGGGTATATTAATTTTTATTTGCTTGTTTATTGTTTAACATTCCTCTCGAGAATTTTTCACTCATATGGAGACGCCACCACTTGCCAGTGGAGAGCTGCAAATTTTGACCTATACTCGGCACTAAGGGCCATTAAGCAGTGAGGGATCTTTTTTGTGCCAGCACCTACTGTGACATGGGACCTCGGTTTATACGGTCTCCACGTCCCACAGTGGGATTCGAACCAGCGACATAAGGATCAACTCCTTACTCCGCAACTCTAGAGCTTTAACCACTGCACCATGTGGGCATATTAGTAATGCAACACAAAAATATTTTTAGTGTATGAAATTTGATGAGAATATCTTAAAATAGTTTCTTTAACATTGAAATCGAAAAAGTTGGATATAGATGATAAATTCTCACCAAATTCTGTTAAGTGCATAAGCTCACATAAAATTATCTTTAATGGTTTCTTTAAAACTAAGCAAAATGCAAATTTAAGAAAAGTGAGGTCCAGGTCACAGGAAAGTTCAAGGTCATACATTTTTGATGCAGTTGAATAGTTCTCACTAATACACATAAGCAAAATAAGTTTGATAAAAATATTTTGAATGGAAACCGTTTATTTAACACTGAGCTAATCACTATTTCAAGAAAAATGAAGTCAAGGTCAAATGAAATGTCAAGGTCAAAAATGTTGATACAGTCGAATACTTTACATCAGTCTGTATCAGCATATGAAGTTTGACACTAATTTAGGAAAAGTGAAGTGAAGGTCAAAGGAAAGATCAAGATCAAAAAATGTTGATGCAGTTGAATAGCTCTCATCAGTATATACATGTATCAGCAAATGAAGTTTGATTACGCTATCCTGAATGGTTTCTTTAAAACTGAGCTAAACACTTATTTAAGATAAGTACGGTCAAGGTCAAAGGAAAGGTCAAGATTAAAAATGTTGATTCAGTATGTATCAGCATATGAAGTTTGATTACACTATCTTGAATGGTTTCTTTAAAACTGAGCTAAACACTAATTTAAGAAAAGTGAGGTCAAAGTTAAAGGAAAGGTCAAGGTAAAAAAAAATGTTGATGAAAATGAATACCTCTCATCAATATGTATCAGCATATGAAGATTGATAAAAATATCTTGAATAGTTTCTTTGAAACTTAGTTTTGAACTGAGCTAAAAGCAAAGTGGAATGGAAGGACAGACAGAAGGTTGGAAGGACGGAAGACAGACATGACAAACTCTATATGCCCCAGCCATATTCATGGCAGGGCAGAAAAACTTCTAGTGTACTGAAATTCAAAACTGCAGTAATTGATAATTTGTTTTGTTTTTTTTTTTAATTTTAATTCAATATCAAAAAACATATACAAACTTTTTTGATACTTTATTCTATTCAAAGCAATAAGAAATGCATCTGTCTGCACTGCTTAAAATTGATAAGAAGGTTATGATATAACTAAAATAATGACCATGTCCACATTAAATTTAAAATATAATGAGTGACAATTCACTTCACCTTTTCTTTGGCTTTCATTCCATTGACTTTTCTTTCTTTAAAAATTTGTGCTTGTGTAGTACTCCATCTCTAAAAAATAACATATAAATGAAAGTTTATGGCACTCAATGAACTCTCTCATCCCTTCCTTTACTGTTCAAGAAAAAAAAAAAATGCATACCACAAGCATAGTTTAAACATGTAACAAGACTTTATGATATTTTCATACATAATGTCACCAACTTTATAAAGAATTGTGAATGCATTTCAAAGGTGAGCACATGTGAATTGAATTAAAAGTACCAGTAATGCGAGTATCTCGCAGTTATCTAACTTACAAACGCTCTTTAGCATGGGAGTCGAGGAAGCTCTAAATCTCACAAGATTTCTGGGGCATAACATTACAGTGGTGACAATGGAATGATTCGAACAATCATTAT